AGTGGCGATAACATTGAGTCAGACTGGGTTGTGCCTACCCTAAAGTGCTGTTGTGTCTGTAAAGTGCTATAAAGTGCATGTAATTAAAGTACCTGTTTTTGAAGTGCCTGATTTTCTCAATGTTCACACGTTTGATTGTTGATCAACCATGTCTTACATCATCTTTTAAAACTGACACAGGTGGAGCTTTCTCTGATAGCTATAGGTAAAATATTCCAGTTTGTGCAACCTTTAATAGATAGTACATGCTGTGCAAAGGAGGACTTTCTAAATTGTACTTCACAGTCAGCCCTGGTGACAGACCTTGGACTAGTGATACCATTTTTCTTTTTGATAAATCCTCCAGGGGCGGTGAGGCCATGCCATTCACAGACTTACAGATTAAGCACACACTTTTAGTTAATGTTGCATAATCTCTCTGTTTCTGTTTTGTGATGAGGTTTCTTTAATTCCTGAGATTTGTACCACAAAGCAAGAGTAAAGGGTCCAGAGAGACTCTTCTGTTGTCTGTTCTTCACCAGTGAAAGGTTAATGGGAGACAAGGAGAAAGAGATTGTTGACAAAAGCTTCTGTTAAATCTGGACTAGATTTCACCAGAAGACATGTGGAGACTCTGAAGTCACCTGGAAGAAGGTTCCTTGGTTTGGTTTCCTCATACTTTGATTCACTAGCAGTCTAAAAATCCTGCTTTGAGCTTCATCACCATGCGGCGCCGCACTTACTATTTAGTTTGACGAAATTGTAGCTCGTGCTGTTCAGTGTTGTCTTGTTTGATTGCTTTGTCATACACTATATGGACATGTATGGACAAAGGTGTTTGAACACACCATCACTAAATGTGAGTCCTTTATTTAAACCCATTGCCCTTGGTTCTTTTTTATCATAAACTCTAGATATTTTAAATGGTATCTGTAAAGTCGACATTTTGTTAAAGCCCAGCTCTTAGACTGCAACAATTAATTCGAGAGCAGACGAGATTGAGTGCCAAAAAACATGTTTATTCTCCAAATAAGATAAATGCATGTCAGAGTCAGTCATCAGTGGCGTATGTCTGTGTGAGTGAGTGGATGCACAAAACAAAACAAAAAACAGCCGCGCCACGAGGCCCGCACGTATGGCAGAGGGGAGCAGGTGGAGTGAGAGACCATCAGGAGGAAGGAGAGTATTTCACCACAGGTGCAGTCAATCACCTCAAAGACGACCCTGCCTCAATGGAAACCTGCAATCGACAAAGACAGAAAAGCAAACAAGCACACACTGAACAGATATTCTGGTGTGTGGAAAGTAGTGTTCATGCTGCCAAACTTTTTGCTTAACCTCTTTTTGTAAAAACAAATAAGCATTAGTACAGTCAGATAAATAGCATAGAGTCATGCTGTCAAACAGTCTGTAGCGCGGGCTCCTTCTAGATACCAGCTTCTCTATTTACAGCAGCTCCAGTGTGTTCAGTAAGTTCGGCCCTGAGCAACATGAGATGACTGTGTGATATAGGCCTATAACTTTCACATCTGTTCTGCAGCAACCTGACAGCCTGTGACCTCAGTCACTGCTGCTGACCAGGAGCTTTTCCCAAAGTTTGGCTTTTCAGAGATTCTCTGACCCATCTGGCCATAGGAACTCAGTTCTTTTACGCCACTCAGCTCTCCACGGTGACCACTTCCTCCACACGAAGCATATCCAGTGCCCTGACTACAAGAATTAAAATTCTGTATCACAGATCCTGAAATACACAGTCATTATGAGAAACTCAACATTATTTGCTTTATGTATGTTGTTGCTCAAATTCCTTTTACTTTTTACTGTTGCTGATACTACAGTCAAGGGATCAGAACTTCCATAGCACAATGGGTTTTTGTGGACCTGCTTTATTAAAGGCCAATTTAAAACTGGCCCAGGTTTCAGTCCTAAGGATAGCCCTAAGAAAAGCTAGATGTTTAGTCCTCCAGCTCACATGGTTAATATCCCTCTGATGACCAAGGACTCATGTACCTTGAGGTGTGAATTGCTGTGAAACCAGGTGGACCAACAGCAACAACAGTAATAATGATAGTTGAGCTGTGAATTTATACAGCACAGGGTATGAATCTGCCATGTCAGGAGTGACTCACTTTTGGGGCCGTTTTTGCTTTTATCAGATAGGACAGTTGAGAGAGAGACAGGAAAGTGGGGGAGAAGAATGGGGGAAGGACTTGTAGCAAAGAGCCATAAACAGAATTTGAACCCATGGTCACTGCGTCGGGGACTGTAGCCCCTGTACGTGGGTCACCACGTGGGGGCGGGGGGATCTAATATCATCTTGTCCCGGGCCCAGGGAAGGCTGTCAGCTGGCCTGCTAACAGTAATAAAACATCAGTAAAATCAGTAATTAAGTATAGAATAAGCGACAGAGCAGAAATCAGCAACAAGTTAAATGTACAATATTGTTAGATAGACAAGCCAAAATGCACTTCATACACCCAAAGTTTTTAGCAGAGTACACAAGCAACAAAATCAATTATGGATTTTAAAGCAGACAGCATTGTTTCGTGTCTTTGCTCTTCTACCATAAAGGGCTTCATAGAAGTTGAGGACAGTAATCCAGAACTAAATCCAGAACTAATCCAGAACTAGACGACCTGAGAGGTCTGCGGACGTATTGTATATAAAGCAGTGTGTAAGTGCACAAGCAA